CTGGACTGGATTAATCCAATTTACATTATCCCTTGTGGGAAAAAATTGTTCCGTACTCGACCTTATCGGCACTCAGCCAGCCTTCAGGAACCAATTAAGTTTGAGTACCGAGGTTCAAATGTGACAGGTTTCTTCTACATCTAAGGTGCCTTCGTTTTAAAAATAATGATTGCATAGTTGCAGACGATAGACTGCAGAATGTGAGGAACAAATTCAGTGATCTGAGAGGAAAGTTCAGAGATTTCTTTGTACGAGGCCAGAATGTAGTAATTGATGAATTGCTTGTTCTTTTCAAGGGACGTCTTGCTTTCAAGCAGTATATCCCATCGAAACAGCGCAGATTTGGACAAATTCTTTGTGTTCTGTGATTGAGAAACAAGAATAGCGATAGATAATATATTCTGGTACCGCCATAGACATACCCAATCATGATCTTTATGGGTTTTCAGGTAGTGTGGCAAAGATGCTCATGGAACTACTGCTGAACAAGGGGCACATTTTGTACACTAACAATTATACCAGCCCTTGCTAATCACATTCATGCTTGAACATAACTACAGACCATTTTGTTATGATCTGTAGCACAGTAAAACCACATAGAGAAATGCCAGTGCTTGTTACAGGAATTTCAGTTGGAACAAATTCAGTGATCTGAGAGGAAAGTTCAGAGATTTCTTTGTACGAGGCCAGAATGTAGTAATTGATGAATTGCTTGTTCTTTTCAAGGGACGTCTTGCTTTCAAGCAGTATATCCCATTGAAACAGCGCAGATTTGGACAAATTCTTTGTGTTCTGTGATTGAGAAACAAGAATAGCGATAGATAATATATTCTGGTACCGCCATAGACATACCCAATCATGATCTTTATGGGTTTTCAGGTAGTGTGGCAAAGATGCTCATGGAACTACTGCTGAACAAGGGGCACATTTTGTACACTAACAATTATACCAGCCCTTGCTAATCACGTTCATGCTTGAACATAACTACAGACCATTTTGTTATGATCTGTAGCACAGTAAAACCACATAGAGAAATGCCAGTGCTTGTTACAGGAATTTCAGTTGGTGAATGTCAGAGAGAAAAAAATAATTATCAGTGCGTTGGAATGACAGACATGAGGTGAATATGTTGACAACAATTCACACTGGTGAAATGGTAGACAATGGCAAACAGATCGTTGCAACACAAGGTAAATTGTATAAACCAAATTTTGTCATGGACTATAATATTTGCATTTAAAGAAAGATTGGTGGATAGATGCGACATAAAGGTAGACAATGTGGAATGTGTATGGAAATCTGTAAAGTGAACCAGGAAATTATTTTTCACCTTATGGATGTAATGATGCTGAACTGTTTCAATGTTTGGTGAAATCTGGCAAGAATCCACCAGTCAGTAATTTTAGTCTTGCTGTCGTCTCAGTTCCTTGTAAAGTTCGGCAAGGAAGTGTTGTGCCGAATGTTTTAATGCCAACAAGATTTCACGCTGCTCCTGACAGACTGGAGTGGAATAACGCCCAAAGTAACTCCTGTACTACTACTGGGTTGCAATGACTACTTTGCACTACACAAGTTTGGTTACATACCAGGTACAGGAAGACCTGCAAAAGGTATACACGAGTGCATTGTCTGCAACCACACACTATGAAGACAAGCAATAATCAGTATGTATGTACACTGTACTTGGAGCACAGAATACAAAGTTGCTTTGTGTGCCATTGACTACTCTGGAGATTATCACTCACTCATGAAGCATGTAATATGGTGTATATTGTTGGAAATATTGTGTGCGACTGTGATTATTATTATAAAGTGAAAATTGAACAAAGTAATATTGTGACAATAAACATTTTAGTAGACACATTAATGACGTGTATTTTTATTTTCCACATTATGCACATTCTAAAGTGAACAAATCGCAAATGACATCCAGGTGAATTAGATAAGCAAAGAAAACCAATTGTATTATATTGATAAAAATCATAAATAATACATTTGTGGCAACTTATGGGTCTTGAATCACCTACACTGTATGTCTCAAGATTTGATGAACTTTGCTTCACTGCAGCCAAAGTGCAATTTTTTTATTTTTGTATTTATATCATCATGGAGGGGATTTAAAAAAAAAATTGATTGGGAGTAAATTTTTTACATGCACCAGAGTTGTCAAATTAAACAGCCATGCAGTATATACATGGGTCAATGAGAATAACTTCCAGTTACCGCATTAAGAAAACTAAAATATTAGAATAGAAACCACACAAATCGCAGCCAAACCACACTATCGAAAGAAAAAACAATGTAAAAGACTTGGGAGTAACCATGTCGGAAGATCTTACTTCTACAGAACACATGTGAAATATTGGAGATGCCCAAAGAGTTTTCATTAAAAAAAAAATATTTCCTTAAATCCGTATAATAGTTTCATTGCTCTTTAATATTACATTTTATGGAAGAGAAGATGGGCTCAAAGAGGAAAGGGTAGGTTAGTTTCAATGAAATTTCTATGTTAGTTTTAACTCAACTTGAAACAAATCAATCATATGTATAATATAATGGAAAGCATTATCATTTCACAAAGAAAAAATTGTGAACAATATATTATTTCAGGAATATTCGACTTGTTAGGCAACTTGACCTATTACGAACATTATGCATATACTGTACTGAATATACAATATATACATCACTTAAGAACTCTGACCCAACCATAATTTGAATCCCTTCGCCGAGATTATCCTCTGGTGTAGAGGTTATCTTGAGATGATTTCGGGGCTTTAGTGTCCCCGCGGCCCGGTCCTCGACCAGGCCTCCACCCCCAGGAAGCAGCCTGTGACAGCTGACTAACACCCAGGTACCTATTTTACTGCTAGGTAACAGGGGCATAGGGTGAAAGAAACTCTGCCCATTGTTTCTCACCGGCGCCCGGGATCGAACCCAGGACCACAGGATCACAAGTCCAGCGTGCTGTCCGCTCGGCTCCCTTGTGCAATAAGGAAGGGGGGGGGGGTAGGGTTTGAATCCTGATCAGGTCATATAGTTCTTAAGTAATTTAGATTTTGTTCACATCTTTTCTTGTCAATGATAGTTTTCCATTACATTATATATGATTAATATTTTTTTTTTAATTCGAGTTAAAACGAACAAATTTTATCAAACCTAATCAAACCAAACGTATACTAACCTAACATGACTAAGTTAGAAGTTCATGATCTTTAATACATATAATATAGTACTATTAAATCTTTTATTATTTGAAAATAACCAAAATCACTGTGCCAGTACTGTAATACCTGTATTGACAAATGTAACAATCTTTGTTAGATAAATGTAATTAACCTAACAGTGATCCCACACCTGGCCAGAGATGCCAACATGTGTCCCACACCTGGCCAGAGATGCCAACGTGTCCCACACCTAGCCAGAGATGCCAGCATGTGTCCCACACTTGGCCAGAGATGCCAACATGTGTCCCACACCTGGCCAGATGCCAGCATGTGTCCCACACTTGGCCAGAGATGCCAGCATGTGTCCCACACCTGGCCGGAGATGCCAACATGTGTCCCACACCTGGCCAGAGATGCCAACATGTGTCCCAGACCTGGCCAGATGCCAGCATGTGTCCCAGACCTGGCCAGATGCCAGCATGTGTCCCACACTTGGCCAGAGATGCCAACATGTGTCCCAGACCTGGCCAGATACCACTATGTGTCCCAGACCTGGCCAGAGATGCCAACATGTGTCCCAGACCTGGTCAGAGATGCCAGCATGTGTCCCAGACCTGGCCAGAGATGCCAGCATGTGTCCCAGACCTGGCCAGAAATGCCAGCATGTGTCCCAGACCTGGCCAGAAATGCCAGCATGTGTCCCAGACCTGGCCAGAAATGCCAGCATGTGTCCCAGACCTGGCCAGAAATGCCAGCATGTGTCCCAGACCTGGCCAGAGATGCCAACATGTGTCTCACACCTGGTGTTTGGCAGTATTATGTCCCAAACCTGGCCTGTGTTGCAACCATGTGCCCTAAAATTATTATATATCTGGGTAGGGGGTGTTTACATCTGCCCCTAAGCCTAGGCAGGGGTTGTCAATATCTGCCCTAAACCTAGACAAGGGTGTCAACATCTGCCCCTAAGCCCAGGCAGGGGTGTCAACATCTGCCCCTTAGCCCAGGCATGGGTGTCAACATCTGCCCCTTAGCCCAGGCATGGGTGTCAACATCTGCCCCTTAGCCCAGGCATGGGTGTCAACATCTGCCCCTTAGCCCAGGCATGGGTGTCAACATCTGTCCCTTAGCCCAGGCATGGCTGTCAACATTTGCCCCTAAGACCAGGCAGGAGTGTCATCATTTGCCCCTTAGCCTAGGCAGGGGTGTCAACACCTGCCCCTATGCCTGGGCAGGAGTGTCAACACCTGCCCCTATGCCTGGGCAGGAGTGTCAACACCTGCCCCTATGCCTGGGCAGGAGTGTCAACACCTGCCCCTTAGCCTGGGCAGGAGTGTCAACATTTGCCCCTAAGCCCAGGTATGGGTGTCAACATCTGCCCCTAAGCCCAGGCAAGGGTGTCAACATCTGCCCCTAACCTCGGCCAGGAGGTGCAAATAGTGCCCTGCGCCTGGCCTGGGGTGCCAACACGTGCCCTGCGCCAGGCCTAGGGTGCCAACATGTGCCCTGCGCCTGGCCTGGGGTGCCAACATGTGCCCTCCGGGCACTAACACCCACCACCCTTCTCCCCCCCTACACGAGCCCTGGGCGAGACAGCTAACCTGGTAAAGCAGTTAGTAATAAAGTGAGTGAAGGGGGCGGAGGAGTGGGTGTATTGATCAGAGAGAGTGAGAGCGAGAGAGAGAGAGAGAGAGAGAGAGAGGGAGTGAGAGTGAGTGAGAGGGCGGGTGTTGGCTGGCTAGCGTCCGCCGCTATCACCCGCCGCCCCTCTCCCCGGGTCCTCCACCCGCCTTTATAAACACCCTCACCACACCCATTTACCACACTGATACGCACCACATTTACCTTTACGCTCACTTTTATGTCCTGTCGGCACTCTACCCTTTATCTGCCTCTTTTTAGAGGGAGAAACCATCGTCCGCAGACCAATACAAGTTTGGGTTGCTTCACAATCATTGAACCAAGAGGGCCGCGGTTGTTAGGCTTACTGCGGGCCTTTCGGGCATATTAACAGTCTCTACACTCTCTTCTTCGTTGTCCTCGTTCATGATACACTCGTGCGTTACTTCCACATCACTTAGGCACGGCACCGAGTCTGCATCACACGTGTAAACTCGAAAAAAATGGAATAATTGGAAAGCGAGGAGTGTGCTTCCTCCACACCACTATTGGTTACAGCTACAAACATCATCACTGCCATCTGTTGGTAAACAGCCAAGGCTTCATTTGAAAGTTAGGCTGCCTCGCTTACACTCTTACAACCCTTTTACTCTCAAACTTTTCATTATTGACGCGTACGTATGCTCGAAATATTATTCCCGGTTGATATAAAATAATAATGCGCAAGTCTTATAGGGGGTCATAATCGAGATAATATGAAGTGAGAGATGGTTGGTGTTGGTTGGGTAGTCGACGGCAGCCGGAGCTGGAGTTAAGAGGAGAGTGGAACCTCAGTGTGGGGTGAGAGGCGGCACGTGTGGGATGTTGCCGTTGCCATCTCTTATTTCTGTCTATTTCTCTTCCTATTTACTTCTTTTGCTTGCATTTTGCTCGAATTTCCGTAAATGGAAAACAGCTTATTTGAGTTAGCTTTATTTTTTTTAGCAAAGGGTTAAGCGTTCAGGACATAGACGATAGGCAGGTGTTTAGTCTGGATGCACGCCATAGTATCTTGAATGGTTTCCGCTCCATTATCACACCGAACAAATTTAAGCAGAGAACAGACAAAGATAAGCCAATGGCTTCCTGAGGTTACAGGAGGGTTTTGAAACAGGACACCCCACCAGCCCTCAAAGGGTGGAGAAGTTCACCACGCCTTTCTCTAGTTCATGTGCCCGACACCGGTCCCTATACTGCCTGTCATTTGCGGCCTATAACAGCCTCGAGCTGATAACATTGATTCTATTCATTCATCATGTTGACTAGCTTATCCTGATTACCCGATCAACATATTACTAAAGTCTGATTACTCCTTTGAGCTCATGTTCGCACGTATATACTTTGAATAGCTGTATATATTATGGTAGCTCTTAGCCCTTAAGAGCTATCCGCAAGCCCTCTGTCGATTTGACAACACTACAGCATTTGCTTAATTAATTATTCATACTAAAACCATATTTTCCACATGATACTAGAAGGTATATTAATTTAGATCAAAAACATAACGAAAAATAGGGAAAAGGCGCGCGAAACCCAGAGCAGGGGGCTGATGGCGAGCAGTCCGTCAATACCTTCCTGGTGAGCGGAAGCTTCACTCTAATACTGGCATCCAGGCCGGCACCACCAGGGATCTATGTCTTCATCTATCCTAGTCTACCTTCAATATTATATTTGCATCTGCCATTGATCTTGTGCAAGCTGTATCGGCACTACAGTTCATGCTGTTAATATATTTGTTAGAACGAACATTTTGTAAAAGCGGACGTAGAATTTCTAAATCATAAAGCAGGAAAAGATATAAGGAACACATGTGCATTCTTTCTATTTAAGGCATTATTGCCCATAAGAATAGTATTAGATATTTAATTATATTTAAAGTAACCTCTCAAATAAAATAATTGGGGGTGGCATTAGACTGTTGCTTGTGACAGGGTGAATTAGCGAGGTGTGCGTGCTGGGCCCAGAACCTTGCTATTGTCACTGTAACATAATATCTTTAACAAAAAAGGTTTTGTGAAATTCCTTGAAAATGGTTTAAATTATCTTTACCTGTTATATTTGGTGATTATTTAAGACATTTGGTAAATTGTATTTTATTTATGATTGAAAATCCAAAGAAGCCGGGTTCCCTTGTTTACTGTGGGACCCTCATGTCGCCTTTAACATCAAAACATTTTTGTATATACTGAAAATGTATGTTAAAAACTGCATACTAAGACATCTGTACATCGAAAGTTATTGTAAGATATAAGTTAGGTAGTTGAAACAGCGTATTTTCACTCAAACTTTCAGAAAATAAGTAAAGTTCGTTGTAAGGATGTTGCCCCATCACAGGCAAAGTGATGCCGGTGTGGAGGAAGATTATGCCAGCCACATCGTGTACCTTTCATTACGATGCGATTTTCTCCATATACTAGCCTGTAATTATCACTCAAAGACATTACAATCCCGTCATTATTAACAACGATACATATCGCAATAATCGAACCCGTTTGCCATAAGTGTATAAACGAAAACGTTGATATATATAACGTTCTTGGTGGTGGTGTGGATTCCGTTATGATATGGAAGGTGGACGTGGGAGGGGGAAGGTGGAGGTGGGAGGGGGAAGGTGGAGGTGGGAGAGAGAAGGTGGAGGTGGGCGGGAGGGTGGAGATAGGCCCAGGAGAGGCAGGCGAGGGGCGGCAGGAACAGCACCCGGCACACAGGGCAGACGGGGGAGTGAGGCCGTGGTGGCGGCGGCCGCCCAGTTGGGACTATGCTCATGCACCCTTTGTTCAACACGGCTGTCCACTCTACACCGCTCTGACATACACTACACAGGGTGTTTCACTCCACCGGGTGTTTCACTCCACCAGGTGTTTCATTCCACAGGGTGTTTCACTACACTGGGTGTTTCACTACACCAGGTGTTTCATTCCACCGGGTGTTTCACTCCACTGGGTGTTTCACTACACCAGGTGGAGCCACTATCCACCAACCAGCTCCACCCACGCAGAACGGTCTTACAGGAACCTGGTAGCCGAGTCAGCTAAGATTAAAGTAAATGATCGATGGGAGAGTTCAACTACGGGCCCTGTAGCACAATAGTATACGTTCTCAGCTCGCACCCGAGGGACCCGGGCTCAATACCTTGTCAGGATCGACAGAAATCGTTGTGCACGTTTCCCTTCAGCTGGTGCACCTGTTCATCTAGCCAAGTGAGACCTCCACCGGCTCCTCTCATACATACTGCATTAACGTGTAAAGGTCCTCAAACAGCTTACGTGAGGGTACGGTATGTAAGAGTCAAGGGTACGGTATGTAAGAGTCAAGGGTACGGTATGTAAGAGTCAAGGGTACGGTATGTAAGAGTCAAGGGTACGGTATGTAAGAGTCAAGGGTACGGTATGTAAGAGTCAAGGGTACGGTATGTGAGGGTACGATATTTACCATATGAATCGAATAAACTATGTATGAATTACAGCCTATTGTATAGAAGTCCGAAACCGAAATGTTTCGGGCAGAAGTTCTGCCCGAAACGCTTTGCGTAATAGTGACTTTAGGCATTGTATGTACTAGCTCTATCTATGAATCCATCAACTTTTGTATTTCACCTTGTATGTACGTACTTTACCTGAATATTTGTACTTTGTATTTGTATTTTGTTTGTAAATCCCACATTTTAGGGAAACAAAAGTAATAGGAGACATTAACAAATTCGCAAAAAAGTCATAATATTTAGTACTTGGTTGTAACAAATCCTTTGCATATGATGACTATATGAAGTCTATGAACTATGCACCGGAGCCATAGTCTCCCCTGGGGGGCCATAAGTCAAGGCAGTGTATAGGTTATGATACCGAAGGGTTGGAGGGAAATAATCAGCTAGTAGAGTGAACTACAAAAAACTCACAGGTTGTTAAAAATGTTTGTAGAACAGAGTGTAGGGGCCGTTAATAGGGATGCTATATGAAACAGGGGTAATGACCATATATAGTTTGGAAACCACTGATCAATCTTTCCCGGTGATGCTCTGTCATCTTTAGAGCACCTGTCACAGGAATACCGCCCATTCCTTACAATACAATACAATACAATTTTATTTAGGTAAGGTACATACATACAATAAATATTTACAAGGATTGTTTAACTTATAGGTATAGCTAGTACATACAATGCCTAAAGCCACTATTACGCAAAGCGTTTCGGGCATGATAAACTTAAATGACAAGCTTAATACTAATTGAGCATAATGAGTAGAATGAAAACAAGAAATGAAAACATAGATGAAAAAGCAGCACAAATACAATTATGTCGACAAACAGCGCTCTTTAAAGAAAAAACAGACATTGGTTGACAATAGAAGGGTAAGGTAGGTTACAGGGAATTTATTAGGTATAGCTTCGCTTTTAACTTAAACTGGTTGAGAGAGGTACAGTCTTTAACATGGTTGGGAAGGTCATTCCACATTCTGGGCCCCTTGATTTGTAGAGCATTTCTAGTTTGATTAAGTCGTACTCTAGGAATATCAAAACTGTATTTATTTCTGGTGTGATGCTCATGGGTTCTGATACAACCTTCTATGAAGCTTTTGAGATCAGGATTGGCATTATAGTTTAGCGTTTTATATATGTATAATACACATGAGAGAATGTGCAGTGACTTAATGTCTAACATATTCAGAGATTTAAGTAGGGGTACCGAGTGGTGTCTGGGGCCAGAATTGGATATTGTCCTAATAGCAGCTTTGTGTTGAGTAATTAGAGGACGTAAGTGATTTTGGGTAGTAGAGCCCCAAGCACAAATACCATAGTTGAGATATGGATAGATAAGGGAGTAATAGAGAGTCACCAGGGCAGGGCGTGGTACATAATATCTGATCTTAGAAAGAATGCCCACAGTTTTTGAAACTTTTTTTGATATGTTTAGAATGTGTCCCTGGAAATTAAGCTTGTGGTCAATGAGAATGCCAAGGAATTTGCCATCTAATTTGTTACAAATTTGGGTATTGTTTATTTTGAGATTTATTTGATTAGAGGATTTATTGCCAAACAGAATATAAAAGGTTTTGTCAATGTTAAGGGTGAGTTTGTTGGCAGTTAGCCACAGATGGACTTTATTTAGCTCAGTATTTACTGTGGCATTTAGAGCAAGGGGATCAGGACTGGAGTAAATGAAGGTTGTGTCGTCAGCAAATAGAATTGGTTTGAGGTGTTGGGAGGCATTTGGAAGGTCATTAATGTAGATGAGAAAGAGGAGAGGGCCAAGTATGCTGCCCTGGGGAACACCAATGTTGATGGGTAGGGTGGGAGAAATTGTATTATTCACAGAAACATATTGGAGCCTGTCAGTAAGGTAGGATTTGAGGTATTGTAGGGAGTGTCCTCTGACTCCATAATGATGTAATTTAAGAAGAAGGTTTTGGTGGTTGACAGTGTCAAAAGCTTTACGCAGGTCCACAAACAACCCAACAGAGAACTCATTTTTATCAAGAGCTGTATGAATCGAGTTAAGCATACTAATAAGTGCATCGTTAGTGCTTTTTTTGGGTCTGAAGCCATATTGGCAAGGGCTAAG